CAGTGAATGGGTGCCGTCAGAATGAGAGTCCAAACAGCTGATAAAAACATCACAATAATCCACAAGTAATTCACATGACTCCAGTCCATCAATTAACGTCTGACATCAATTAAAGTGAAAATTTGCATGTTTATAAGAAACAAATCCATCATAAAGGCGTTTGAACTTTAAACTGTCACTTCCAGCCAAAATATGAGTCCATAATCCATAATGACACTTCGTCCAGTTAAAAAGTCCGTCCCCTGTTGTCCTCTCACATCATAACAAATTTGTTTAGTACTGCTTTGGACTGTTTTCACTTGTAAATGCTGCTTGATTTGTACATATTTTTCTCTCCACGTAATGATTTTTTCATTGGAGAAAGCAATATTATGAATAGAGGACTCGTATTTTAGTCTGAAGCAACAGTTTGAAATAATAATAATAATAAAAAAACATCTTGATGTTTTGAGTATTAAAAACATGCAGCTTTTCACTTCACAAGACATTAATTGATGGACTGGAGTCATGTGAATTACTGGATGATTGTGATGTTTTTTTTTTTATCAGCTGTTTGGACTCTCATTCTGACGGCACCCATTCACTGCAACTAAATTTCCCCAAAATCATTCCAAAGAAGAAACAAACTCATCTACATCTTGGATGGCCTGAGGGTGAGTATATTTTCAGCCAATTTTTATTTTGGGGTGAACTATTTCTTTAACCCTAAAAGGACATGTTTTTGTGAGACTCACCCACTGTAACTATGTAGTAGTTGACAATAGTGTTGGAATGTGGTGCGTGTTGGTATGTGGTGTTAGAAAGATACAGGATTAACCAGATGACAGGCACTGTAACATGAAACATAATGCCACCTAAAGTTTCATTTTCACATTGGGTTCTGCAAAGGATTTATTATAAGCCAATTAAGTGTGCATATCATCTGATTTGCTTGCTTATTGAAGCTACAGGCTACCTCAAGTGTCCAGTTGGGTGGTTTACGCTGGTATTGTAACCAGCAATTCAGCTAAATTGGCTCAATACCAAGGCTTAGCTGTGGAGAGGATCATCTACAACAAGAATTACAACCACAGGATGCATGACAATGATATCGCTTTGGTGAAATTAAGAACTCTTTTGAATTTCTCAGGTGAACAATATTCAGTAAATGTGTCACTGTGTGTGCCATGTATTTCATAATATCTACTAGTTATTTCAGGTTTTAAACGTTCTTTACACACCCAGACACCATCAGACCTGTGTGTCTACCTAAGTATGATTATGATCTACCAGGAGGAACCCAGTGCTGGATCTCTGGTTGGGGATATACACAGCCAGATGATGGTACTGTTTTTCTACAAATGCATATTTAAATGCATGTATATTAAAATAAATACATATTATTTAAATTATTTTTATGATTTAGACATTGTACTGTATGTAAATTATCCAATCTTTTTTTTAAGTTCATATACCAGAGGTTCTCAAAGAGGCACCTGTACCTTTAATAAGCACAAAGAAATGCAATAGCTCTTGCATGTACAATGGAGAGATCACCCCTCGAATGCTCTGTGCTGGATATACAGAAGGAAAAGTAGATGCATGTCAGGTGAGCTTCATTCTGCTCAAAATGTTTTTCAAAATTATATTAGATTTATCTAATACATTTGTGAGAAGATGTAGTAATGACACCACATTTTCTTAGGGGGACAGTGGAGGTCCTCTGGTTTGCCAGGATGAGAATGTCTGGAGGCTGGTTGGTGTTGTTAGCTGGGGAACAGGCTGTGCTGAGCCAAACCATCCAGGAGTTTATACCAAAGTGGCTGAGTTTTTAGGGTGGATATATGAGATTATAGAGGTAAGTATGAATGAATGAAGAGACAGGCATCAATGACCCTTGAAATATAAACTTAAGCTGTTAATTGATATACTCTGTGCTCTTACATCTTGATTCCTGTCCTAGAGCTACTAAAGAATCACGTTTGATAGTAGAAGAGAAGAGAAGAATATCCTGACCATTTTTAAATCGTGGCCTTTTATTTTACTTATTATGTTTTATTATATAAAGCCTGAAACATTTACAAAGAAATGTAATGATTACATTTAGATGTTTGTACATTACATGTTTGCTGTATGTTGTGTTACTTTGTGGTTTTAAAATAAATGTTTAACAAAAATGTGAGCTGTTCTTTTTATTTTCATTTTAAAAATCCCACAGACACTCCATCCTAAAAAAGAAAACAAGCTTCAGTTGTCAGATCAGATGCCGGTTGAATAAACTGCTTAGACTACTCTTAAAAAAAGTTAGCCATCTAATTTGTTTTCTTCTATACTGGTCATTAAATTCAATTACAAAAATGTAGATTGGCCCAATTTTAATCAGAAAAGTGAGACTGATTATCTCTTGGCTAACTGCTAGTTGGTCAAACTAGCTCTTAAGCCACATTTAAAAAAAAATAGTGGCTATGTTTATGCAACTGGCCCCAGATGTCGTTATTGTTATTGTACTTTTGCACAGTTTTTTGTTTTTGTGACTGTCTGGAAAGCCTAAAGAGTATTTAATTAACGTGAATTTACAAGTTCTAAACACCGCTTTAATCAAGAAAGTCTGGCTCGTATTTAATCAACTTGAATGCCAGTGTCCGCTGCTATCGCGTACAAACTGTTACTTTTCTCAGCGCTGATAAGCCTGGTCCAATCATAGTCGCTTGTGATTACGCGATACGATTTAATAAATCATTAGATGAATCACCAAACAATTGTATTGTATCTAAAATCGTTTTTTAGAGTTTATAAACGTCTTCAGTAACACAAAAAAACATTTAATTCGGAGGATCCGGCGTTCCGATGCCCTTTGCAACCCTGAATGGAAACGGTTATTTTGAGTAAACAGCGCCATCTATCGGAAGACAAGGAACAGTGCATGTGTTAGATTAGTTTCTATGGTAACCTTCAATGAGTTAAGGGAGGGCGAAAAACCTGTCCTGGATTGATCATTTATCTTGCTCTTTTACAAAACATTGTCATGCAAGACTGTTTTTTTTTTTTTTTTTTTGCACCAATATACCAAGCATTTGTTACTAAATATTGTACGTTATCTGGTAAAAATCCGTCTAACTCCAAACTGTTTTCATATTAGTTTTAGCCTTCAGTCAGTCAGCGCGAGTAACGTTAACTTGTTACACTTCTTTTGGAAGGATATTTAACTAGCATTTTGTTTAGTTGTTAGACTAGTTTCGGTACATTTTGAGCATGGAAATCCCTGGCTATGATAATAAGGCAGCTCTGCAGCAGGTCAATCAGTTTTGGTCGATGTTAGATGACATGTCTCAGAATAACCCGGAGGAGTACAGGACCTTCATTGAACGCCAGTTACGGGAAGGAGCGGAGTTTCACTCACCGCCGCAGCCGCACGCCTGCATCCGCACTGCTCTGCTGGTAAAGTAAACTACACCTTTAAACTTTACCAAGTCTGTTATGATTTAGCCTATTTTACAGAGCCAAACAAACAAATATACCATTGTAGCTGTATGAGAGCAGTTTAGAGGCCTTATTATTTGATTTGATCGCTAGCTTTTTTTGTCACGGTACCATGGTAATACCATGTTCAGGGCTTGACATTAACTTTTTTGGTCACCAGCCACTGTGGCTAGTGGTTTTCCAAAATTACTAGCCACTCAGCATTGCCAGTGGCCTCAATTTTGTTGTTAGGAAATTACTACTGCATACTAAAAATTATTTTTTTAGCTATATAAAGGCCAGTTTTCCCTAACGTTATTAAATGTATGCATCATCTCATGTTCCTTAAAGGGGTCATATGATGCTGCTAAAAAGAACATTATTTTGTGTATTTGGTGTAATGAAATGTGTTTATGCGGTTTAAAGTAAAAAAAAAAACATTATTTTCCACATACTGTACATTATTGTTTCTCCTCTATGCCCCGCCTTCTGAAACGCGTCGATTTTTACAAAGCTCATCGGTCTGAAAAAAGCGAGGTGTGCTTGATTGGCCAACTATACAGTGCCTAGTGATTGGACGAATACCTCAAGCGT